AGGCTCGGCCAAAAAAATAGCCTTTGAAGCCGATTAGACGGGTTCAGGCCCTGTCTCCCTCCCCGGACGAAACCTTGCCCTTCGGCAAAGCCTCGTCCGGGTTCCTCTCTGCTTACGCAAAGAGTTCGACAGGAGGCGTGCGCAGTCAAAGATCGCTAAACACCACTGAGCTCAACTGGCGACCGCTACTACTACTACTTATTATGTGTGGGAGAGTCTATTACAATAGAATAGGTAATGTTCTGGTATAACACCCAGGAAGCACTACTCCTTCGAGACACTTGACGTAGGCCTTCTGAAGCCCTTACCAACAAATTTGGGTGCTCTTTTCTTATCAGAACTATCAGAGTGAATTTTCCGAGCTGTCGTACCTTCGTAATCACCATTAGACACAGTCAACTCTTTCCGAATTCTTTGCACTCTCCTCAGATTTACACCCAAACGCGCTGAAATGTTCGTATTCTAGCTTCCGGCGCGAATGCCAAGCAGAGAAAGAAATATTATTAAATACGACATAGAGGGAATACATTTATAATTGTTTATGCAGTTTTTCTTGGTTTCGTACAAGGAAATAAATGATTGATTCAAGACAATGCAAGAATTGTGCATAATTATTATTACCGACCTGGGTATGATGATAAACTACATCCAGCAGCAAGACCTCAAATCGGGAGATTGAAGGTTTTGAGGAACCACCTCTTAACTGTTATTGTTCCCAGGTCCACCTTGACCCAGGGAGGTAGGACATGTTCGGGTTCAATCTATGGACAAATAGTGACCACCCCACAAACAAAAATCAACACTTCATTTTTATAATAAAATGACCAAAAATTCATTTTTATAGCAAAATGACAATCAATACTACACTAAATATTTTCATAGTAAAATTACCAGCAATACATTTGAAAGAAAATTACCAACATACATACATTTACTCTACGACTGAATAGCGAGTTCGATCCTACCTGGCACAAGGCTCGTCCCTGGGCTGGTGGTATCACGGCTAGGACTATCTTGGACCGACTCCGGCCTGGACCAGCTAGGACAAGCCAAGACCAGCTATGACTAGCTTAGACCAGCTCTGACAAGCTATGACCAGCTAAGACCAGCTTGGGCCAGCGGCCCGAGTGAAAACATTCGGGTCCCCACGTTAAAAACTGACCTTGTGTCACAACCTGACTCAGTGTGGGCGGGGGGTCAAGTAAATATCTACTTTTGACCTTAGGCTACATGTAAGCTACGCTTAAAAAATCACCATACATTTACCCTGAAAGTATAAAATTATGTACGAAATATTTAGGTTTCGGCATTAAATAGCCCATAGAGGCGTTGATATGCCGCTAAACATTACCAACCAAAAACAACCAAATTTTTATTGACGCTTCTATCATATTCGACGATTCTCCGCTCATCATCAGAAGCAAAATATAGAAATGGTTTTGTTACTGATGAGGATCTGAGAGTGGTAATGGGGAGGGGGCAGCTAAATATGAGTCTGGAGTGGTTGGGAGGAGGGAGGCGTCCTCTACCTAGGAGTTACCTCACCTTTGAAATTGCTCAACACCCCCAATAGAAGAAAAGCCGAAATGCTCGAGAAATTTTTGTATAGGCCACCGAATCCCACTTTGAACTTCGACCTTGTGTCACATTCTATGCAGGCATCAAGATGGCTAAATACCTACGCAACATAAACGGAGCAAGGGCGGTCCTGGATTTGTCATTTTCAGAGTTATGGCCTCGCGTTGTATTAAAAAGAAGAGAGTAATGTCTGAGTAGGTTGTGAAGAAGACATTTAAACGGAATTTAACTTAGGAATCGGAGGACATGCAGAAAATTAACATAAAACGCAAAAACGTAAAACATTTAAGCATTTGCCGTTTCTGATTTAAACGCTTCTATTATTATAGCATTGATATAAAAACACTGTTCTCTCTTTAGAAGGCGGATTTTTTTTTCGATGATCCATTGACGTAATTATTGTCATGTGGTGGACTGACGGGTTTAAAAGAACAAAGTGACAACGAAGCGTGGGTTACAGGGTGTATAATGCAATATGAGGCACGTTGTGACTCTCGGGCAAGAAAGAAAAAAGAGTTTTTCAATGTCTATTGTGAATGTTAAAAAATGGGCATTTTGGACAAGCTAGAAATATCACAATGTAATCATTCAATTATTTGTCTTTTTGCTTGCATACTAATAATTTGAAATGCTTTACTTTTTAATATCTCTACATAGAAATCAGAATATATAAACAACGCATCTCTCTCTCTCTATATATATATGTGTGTGTGTGTGCATTTATATATATATAGAGAGAGAGATATATGTGGCCTGACGATTGCATATAGCATGAAACAGACTGTCGCCTCTAAGTGTTGACTTCTATGTTCACTTTTATATTTACACACGCTCTATCTCTGATATCGAGCACTTTATCCCATAAATATAGCACACCTTAAGACTATATTTCGTCATATATATATATATATATATATATATATATATATATATATATATATATATATTTAAGTAATTCAATAATTTCTATCATATATATATCATATTATATTCTATATATATATATATATATATATATATATATATATATATATATATATATATATATATATATACTTGCTTAAATGCTGCCCTATCAGGTGGTATTTAAGCTAGTTCATCTGAGTTTTCTTGACTGGGCCTTCGGCTGGTCCAAGAGTTTGAGAGTCCCTAAGTCTTTGCATATTCTCAGCACTGGAAACTCCCCTGGCTACCGTTCGATTTGGGTTTTCATTTGCACGGGGCTTTCATTTCCTCGCTGCACCCTTGGCTCTTTTGATTGCAATCTGGTCCTCTGTTAGCGGAAATTTCTTTTTGTGAAGCATACTGCTGCCATATGCGATAGGCAACGATAAACTACAGAAGAACTCAAAATTGATCGCTGCATTGAAGTATTTAAGTTTACGTTTTAAAAGTTCAGCGATAATTCTTCTGCCACCATTTAATATAAAGACAGTTTGATGTGTGTAGGTTCTTATTTTCCGTACAAACAATTATTTTTATTTCATGTATGACTTTCGCTGGGTTTGGCAATTAATGTCGATTAAATTTATTCCCAAGTTATAAAAATTGTTATCATACAAAAAAATTGGTCGCAAAAAATCACGTAAAAGTCGCCAAAAGCAATCGCAGTACTGAAAACTTGAAAATTCAAAAATTTGAAAGAGAGTTGTGTCCCTTTAATTGAAAACGTGTGACACAGTGATTGGTATTTATTATATAGATATTAATGTATATTTGACAGGCAGCAACCTTTCTTTTACACATCTTTCGTTAAATATGACAGACGAAGAAAGTTTAATTAATTTTTTATTTTGTTTTTCCAGCATTCTTACATTTTTTCGTTTAGTGGGAGTGCAAAAATTGTCCTTTGTCCCAAGCGCTTTCGGCCACTTCTTAAGGCATTTTCAAGGGTGGTTCGGTTGTTTTAGGTGTTGTTAATTTTTCTTCATGTTTTGACTGTTTAAGGTGTATTTTTGTGTTGTTTTGAATACTAGTAGCAGCTATTTATTCTGAGCCTTTGCCTGTTGAGCACGGCTGAAAATCGAGTGAGCGTTGTTCTATTTTTTCCGAAACTTCGATAGGAGATAGATGTTTAATATACAGGGCCTCTCTTATAGTGAGATGTTTCCGGTAATGGGATTTATATAGAATTTTAGTGTTTTTGACCAGAATTTTTTATTATTTTTATTTTATTTTTATTATTTAACAGTGATAATGTTGTGTTGAAAGTTTTTTAAATTTTGAATTTGTTTAGAGGGTCAGGAGATAATAAAGAATTCGTAATACAAGTCTTACTAATTAACCCATAGTGGGGACAGAACAAGTGGATTCATATATTTCTCAAGGGCATTTGCACGTAAGTGAATATAACGAACCCAACTGGAACTCGGTTCACCGATTGACAATTCCGAGCCATTATCCATTACACCACCCACACATCCAAGTATTCCCAAGGCATTCCCAAGCGGTCGCCCATCTAGATACTGACCGTATTTGACGTTGCTTAACTTCGGTGATCGTACGAGAACCGAGGATATGGACGTAAGCCAATCATTCTTTTACGCAAAAAAATAATACACAGGCATTTTTTTTTTTTTTTTGATGAAGTTAAAAATCATGCATTTTCGGTGACCGCTTGAACTATTTTTCTGGGCAGGGGTAAAAATTAATGCATTTTCACTGACCATACATTCTTACGGTGTCCTTGTCTAACCCTAACGATACTTCTTTAAACTTCTTTAACCGGCCTCTCGTAGCCTAGATTCTTTCTTTCTGTTACTACATTAATTGCAGAACGTCATTCACTATGCGTACCGCTTACAAATAAATACCTTATATAAATGAAGAATTAACAATGATTTGTTTTTTTCCTTTCTCCAATTTGCCTTCATCTTCGTTTACATCGCTGAGGTATTGCTTTTTCAACGAGACCTCTTTTGTCTGATGCCTTTCTCTGTTTATTTAATTTAATTTTATTTATTATATTCTTTACATTTACCGGTGTTATTTGTACAAAAGGGCCATTTATTTGCTATAAAATATGCCAAGGATGATGCCAAGTACTAAAGATTTGACTATTGGACGCCTTCTCGTATTATTCAGAAGCTGGGGTTGCATTATGCATTATACACGAGCTACTTCACCAAAAGATTCAGGAGTGACACAAAACATGCAGTAGGTTTATGTGTGCGTGTGTGCAAGGGCTGTGTATGTATGTGCGTGCGTGTGGATAGATAGATTAGAACAGTTAGATAGATAGATAGATAGATAGATAGATAGATAGATAGATAGATAGATATGAATAGAATTAGATTAGATTAGATAGATGTGAATAGAATTAGATTAGATTAGATAGATAGATGTGAATAGAATTAGATTAGATTAGATAGATAGATGTGAATAGAATTAGATTAGATTAGATAGATGTGAATAGAATTAGATTAGATTAGATTAGATGGATAGATAGATAGATAGATAGATAGATAGATGTCTCCTGCGAATCGATTTTGAGTAATGCTCTTGCTTGATTCCTTTCTCAAATATGGGCAGTAAAGATGTAGCTTTTTTGTCCTGCTATGGTCTTACATTCATTTGGCTAGATGAGGCAACGTTGCAGTAGTTGTTACAGTAATATTTTGTTGAACGTTCAATGTGTGGCGACGTTGATGAATTCTTAGTCCTGTTATATTTAGACAGACACGATCACGTTCATTACACTTTGGACACGATCACGTTCATTATGTACCAACATTATCAGGAAAATTAACATCAAGACACATACGAACATCTGGGTTGTTCATGCTTAGCACGTTTCCGGGCAAAGTCTCTCCCACCATTGTGCGCTGTTTTCCTCCAGATTGAACGATCTAGATAGATAGATAGATAGATAGATAGATAGATAGATAGATAGATAGATAGATAGATATGACCAGACCGGGATAGATAGATAGATAGATAGATAGATAGATAGATAGATAGATAGATAGATCGATATGACCAGACAGGGATAGATAGATAGATATGACCAGACATAGATAGATAGATAGATAGATAGATAGATAGATAGATATGACCAGACATGGATAGATAGATAGATAGATAGATAGATAGATAAACCAACTGAGTGACTTGCAGTGCTTATAACAGATGCAGCAAACTAATTTTTTTCTGTACATATCCTGACTTGTTTTGTAAATTCTATTGACTTTTCACGTGGGTTTTCATATGACGGGCAAGTTCAAGTCGATCTTAGTCTATTACTTCTTGCAGCGTATTATTAAATAAACAAAAATAATTTTCTTTGTATATTCATATGACTGGACGGGGATATTTCGTAATGCAGTGGTTACTAAGTTTATTGCTACTCAACAAAAACCAGGCGACATTATTCCAGGGCATTTATCGGCGTTTCTTCGTAGCAGTCGATCGATCGTTCGATTTCTAGAACTATTTCCTACCATATTTAATCGTCGGAAGTTCATCTTTTGTCATCAATCGATAGAGTCGCCATCTTGCCCTAAGCGGCCAGATTATATGGAAGTTTAGAGAAACTTTACTCAATAAAAGGATCAGGTTAAAGACATTCGAATCCTGACGAACGCTTGGACGACTCAAAATAACTATTTCTCTGCTCTGTTTATTACGGAGTTCCGCATTAACCTAAGCTGCTTCGTGTTCGACAGAGAGAGACAACGAGGATGGTATAAACTTGTAGCAACACGACGAAATGTCTGAAGAAATTGGCCCTAATAAAAAGAGACTATATGTCCAGTACAAAAATACTTCCAAAATTTCATGGTAATGGTAGTTGTAATATTAGCCGTTTCCTTATAAGCAAACATTTAATATTCATTAACCGAATAGCCATTACCACTCATGTTATGCTTTTCTTCACTCCCTAGCCAAAGTGTTGTATCTGTTCTCTTCATCTCTAATGGTAATATTAGTCGTTTTCTTATAAGAAAACAATAAAAATTCATTAACCAAATAGCCATTACTACTCGTGTTACGCTTTTTCTTCACTCCTAGGTGAAAGTGTTGTATCTGTTCTCTTCATCTTTATTGGTAATATTAACCGTTTCTCTAGAAAAATAAGAACAAGAACACTTTTTCAGAAAAATAGGTTTCTCGACTTCAATTACTGTCATCGCTTTTTTCACAATCGATGGGGGTTTCTTTCCTAACCTTTTGTTTGAAGTAGTGTGGAACGGCAACATTTTGATTATGTTTAATTTGTCTTCGAGTTACATGCGTTATCCATTTTAATTTTTGCTATTGTTGAAAGTCCTCATGTGATGTGATTTTTATTATTTGGTACAGTTCCTCGTCTGTGATTCTGTAGCGCCAGCCCATGAGGTTCGAAGAAGGATGGTATTCACTAAGATCCAAGGGCATTACTCGCTCAGACCAATCTAAATCATTGATCTGAGAAAGCGGTTGTATAAAGCTGAACGTTTAGATATTTCTGAACGGGTTTGGCGTCATACATGACATCCATATTGTTATACTAGAACATTACCTATTCTATTGTAATAGACTCTCCCTCACATAATAAGTAGTAGTAGTAGTTGTGTGGCCAGAAGAGCTCAGTGGAATTGAATGAGTCAATGTCGGACATTGAAGTATCAACGACCACAACTAGATTGCTGCGTCATTAACTATTATTGCAAGTTCCTAACGTTTTATATGTCGGACCTAATTTAGGACCGACTTAGCGAAATACAAGCCTCCACTGTGAAAACTACTTTACAACATATATGAAAGTGCCGATCTGACGTGGCTATTTGACTCGAGTTTTCAGGATAATGTTTTAGTTTTGTAGTAACTTATAATGTACAAAACTATACCAAACGCAACCTAGTCTGTAAACAATTTCCTTATCTCCTATATCAAATTTATTACAAGTGATCCATACGCCGAGGTATCTGAAGTCTTTACTATTTACTAATTCCCCCTCCTGAACTTTTATGATGGGTTCAGTGTATGTGTTGTTACTGCTTGCATTCCAATGCCAGATCATAGTTTCTGTTTTGGAAAGGTTTATCTTGAGCCCTACTTCTTGGAAAACTTGGGAGAGGACCTGTCTATATTTCTGAGATGAGGTATTATAACTATTTACAATATTTATATTGTTCGGACTGTTGTCCTCAGCTTTATTGTCCTATTCATCACGTTTCGAGCATTGAACGCTCCGTCATTCGTCAACATATATAACCTGAAGAAGGCCGGAGCGTAAAATAGCCGAAACGTCATGAATAGGACAATAAAGATGACGACAACTGTCCATATAATGTCGTGAGAAAGAGTATTTAATAAAATTTATATTCAAATACAAGGTCATTTAATTTATATTGGTTATCGTAAGTTATATACCATACCTATGAACACTAATGTGTATGTCCCAATCCTCCTAAATACGTTGGACACTATTGTAAGCGAGGGCGGGGGGGGGCAATATGCTGTCTATATTTCTGAGATGAGATGGTGTAACTATTTACACTATTTATATTGTTCGGACTGTTGTTCTCATCGTTATTGACATGTTTCCGACGTTTCTGCCGTTGTACGCTTTGGTTTTCTTCAGCTGTTATACGTTGGAATTTCGAGCCGAAAACTTTGTTTAGTCCACCGGGGGAAAATTGTTCTAGTTCCACGTGCCATGCCTTTTCTGGAACTAGAACAATCTACCCCCGTTGACTAAATAAAAAGTTCAGTTCGAAACGTATATCACTTCAAGAATGTCGGAGCGTACAACAGTCGAAACGTCGTGAATATGACAATGAAGATGAGGACAACAGTCCGAACAATGTAAATAGTGTAATTAGATGGGAGAGGATGTTGACCTTTTTTTTTGTTCAAGATCAATCTTATCTGAAACCCGACGCATTTCAGAATTCATTAATATCTGTGTACATTTTGGTTCAATCAATTCTCAATGATATTGTAAGCTATACAAATTAACCTGTTTAATGTCCTAATTTTTCTTTTCTTTTGTAAATTTTCATAATTTTCCAATTCATATTGCTATATTCTAATTTCTTTGATGCATAAAATACTTAAAGTCTTTTTTGTTTATGTTTTAGGACTTCATTCACAGAGAAGTTCGCCTCATACTATGGAAATATCCGAGGATTACTTCTGGGATCGAACCTGATTGGTCGGCGATCAGCATGCAACGAGAATCTGTTCTCCGAGGAGGCCCAGCTGACTGCCTTCAAGAAAGAGAAAGAAGGTAAGGATATAATGTGTTCGGAAAATAATGACGCATTACCACGCTATGATTTATGCGTCAACCAGCCAAAGTAGAATCGAGTGTTGAATAGTATTAGGTTGGTGCAAAAATAATGACGTAATAATGTCGTTTTTTGACGTTAAAAAATACGTTACAAAACGACATTATTACCTCATTATTTTTGCACCAACCTAATAGAAAACCGTATGTAGAAATCTTTTCTCCTACAGGACAGGAACTTGTGGAGAGCCATGATCGCTTACACCCTGAGGGGACACGACACATAAAGAAGGAGAACCCTATAAAGAAAATAAACATTTGAATTTATTGCTTTTGCAAGGATTCTAACACCTACTTGTTGAACCGCGTCGAGTGATGCCAGACGAGTGCTTCTTCTTCTTACGTGCTGTATCTCTTCAGGACGTAGGCGATCATGGCCCTCCACTTCTTCCTGTCCCTTGTAGCTCTTAATAAGTTTTGTCTTTTTATTATTTTACCCAAACCCTATTCTGCCATCCACTTGCTCAAGATCATTATGTCACGCTTTGCTTCCCCCTGTCCCTCTTTCTCTCAATCTGTCCTGTGAGTATCAGATTTTCCAAGCCCTCCTTCCTCATTACGTGTCACAGAAAGTTTGACTGCCTCTTCCTGATGTTAAGTATAACTTTCCATTCTCTCCAAAACTTCGTTGTTGCTCACATGTTCGACCCATGGTATCCTCAGCATCCTTCTATAGAATCATATTTTTGTTGCTTAAAGTATTTTCATCTTTGATGAGTGCTTAGGTAATTATAAAATCATAATCGACGTCGGCACCTACTCGAATTTGAGCATCGTCATCCTCTCTCCCTATTCCCCAACCCCTATCCTGCCAGTGGCGGAAATAACTGTGAATCAAAGAGAGATTTATGGGGCCATTCGCGTGAATTTGATTTTGGTCGAAAACCCTACGCGACGGAGAAGGTCACACTTGGCGAGTGTGGCTCAAAGAGGACCTAGACAGGAAAGATCTGACAAGCCTGGTTGCATCGGGCTGTCGTATGCTTGGTCTGTCAAGGTCCGTCTTCGTTACGCCAGCCCGACTAGCGCTGCCTCACCCGCCGGTTTGGTATTCAGTTTCTGAATCGTGTAGATCTTTACCTATTCCGCCACTGGGGGTCTTCGAAAAATTGGACAAAAAAAAGAAAGCATCAGAAATCTCCGAACAGGGCGAAACTATATATATAGTTGTCCGCCTCCCCTCTCCCCCTAGTTCCCCACAGAAAAACACTCCACCCACCCCCGGTAAATAAAATAACATGCAATGGCGGAGATGGTTGCGAATTCAATGGGAGTTTGACGAGGCCATACACGTGAATTTGATTTTGGTAGACAACTCTGCCTGACGGTGAAGCACTCATGCTTGGCCAGAAGCGCCTCCGTCGCGGCTCAAAGAGGATCGAGACTGGCGATATCTGGCAATGCGTCGGGCTGTCGGAAGCTTGGTCTGTCAAGGTCCGCCTTGGTTACCCCAGCCAGACTGGTGCTGCCATCTTCCGCCGGTTTGGACGTTGAGATCGTGTAGATCTTTACTTATTCCGTCGTTGGTGTCTTCGCGGAGTTGGTCACGTTCAGTCTGGTCTCTCCTCCTCAAACTTACCGCCATGACTGGCTCTACAAGAGTTGGAACTCCAGACAGCTTCACTGGGGCATGTAAACCTTCTACCATGAAAAGTAACAACCATATATATCTTACACTGAATATCGGAGTGACCAATTCGTTATCAAATGTACCAATTATTATTTTAATGAAAATAATAGATACGAATAAGTAAGAAAAGTATAAAACTGTAATTTTTTTTAAAACCAAAACAGATAATAGCAAATTTTATTATGTTTGGCAACAATATAGTCGGAGCAATAATTCCCCTTAGGAACTGCGCTCTGCTAGAAATCTTTCACATTTCCAACAGAGTGTAGTGTTCACAGTTAAACGTAAATTCAGACGGAGTTCTTCGTTGAATCTTCACAATCAACATGACATATTACATGGGTTCTTCATATAATGGTTCATTACAAATGAATTTATTTTAAAGAAATTATCAGTCTGCAGGTCAAGGTTAAATCATTGTAAATAAAAGAAAAAACAACAACAAAAAAGAAAAGAAAAGAATTGTTAGTTTTGTATGTAATGTTTTGAGAAGATCGTGCGAAAATAAGAAATAAAAAAGGATAAAAATAAAAGGAGGATAAATATTGAAATTTGGACGGAGAAATCAAAAAAAAACTAATGAAATAGGACGGGTAGATTTATCAATTTTGGAAAATTAGATAAGGCTTCGAAAAGGAAAAGAAGAATTTAGACTACTCGGAAAATCATCATCAAAAGTAATATTTGGGAGTATTTACTTTTAATTCATACCCAATAATGGCGAACAGATAGAGACCTGGCAGAATGATTACAATGGTGATGATGATGATGATGATGATGATTGAAGAAGAAGAAGGAGGAGGACGAGGACGAAGAAGAAGAAGGAGGAAGAGGACGAAGAAGAAGGAGGAGGATGACGACGAAGAAGAAGGAGGAGGAGGATGACGAAGAAGAAGGAGGCGGAGGTGGAGGAGGAGGACGAAGAAGAAGGAGGAGGAGGATGACGAAGAAGAAGGAGGCGGAGGTGGAGGAGGAGGACGAAGAAGAAGGAGGAGGAGGATGACGAAGAAGAAGGAGGAGGACGACGAAGAAGAAGGAGGAGGAGGATGACGAAGAAGAAGGAGGAGGACGAGGACGAAGAAGGAGGAGGAGACGAAGGAGGAGGAGGATGACGACGACGATGAAGAAGAAGAAGAAGAAGAAGATAAAACAAAACAAAAAATATCGCACACATGAACGCGCACATATTGTATTAGAAATGTTCATTTTCTCGCCGCAAATAACGTGTCAATTGTCCGTCTGTTTTAAATTGCTTTTCATTTGGAAGAGAAAATAATTTTAATAAAAAATTGCAAGAATTATTTTCTTAAATGTATCATTCAACTACACAAACACATTCTAATTCAAAATGGAATTTGTTTACTGTTCCCGTGAAATGTTATTTTCAAACGATAAATTGTTATGTGATCAATTGGTTCTTTTAAGAAAAAAAAGAAAAGACGTTCTCATTTTTACTCACGGGCTAATTTTTGTTTCTGCTCTAATCTTGCGAATAACTGTGGTTTTATACCTCAAAGGTTGCGTCCATAGCATCTTGTAATAGCAAAGACGTATCACTTGAAGGTTGTCTAAACATTGATGAAAGGTTAACATTATAACAATAAAATTGTTGGTTTAATGATTTAATAATGTATTGATCCCTATATAATGGTCATATAAATATATTACTTTCGACGCTCGGTAATATATCAAAATTTCGGATTACTTTTTTGAATCTAATTTGATGGAACATCGACTTATATGACACACATATACACCCCCGCCACTACACACACACACACACACACATTTATATATAAAATCGGTTTCATCTCAAGTAAGGCAATAAAGTCATGAGGACACAAGGGATTATTGGGCGTGGAAGAATTAGAAATAGAAACTTATATATGGCGGTGCGCTCAAATTGTTATTTTAATAAGCAAAACATTAGAATCAGAATATTTATTTTTGGAAGTGGGCTAGGCTTTAAGCATTCCTACACCCCCTCATCTATCTATCTATCTATCTATCTATCTATCTATATATATATATATATATATATATATATATAGAGAGAGAGAGAGAGAGAGAGAGAGAGAAAGAAAGAAAGAAAGAAAGAAAGAAAGAAAGAAAGAAAAAGAAAGAAAGAAAGAAAATCTGCCAAAAAATTGTATACACATTTCAGGAAAAGAAAAACTTTCTTAGTTTTCTCAATTTGAGATAACATTGTTTACTGTAGTACGATATTTTCTCAACAGATGGTATTACAATGGCGGTCCTTAGGCAAAAAATTGAAAATACATGGGAAGCCATCCTAATGGGCACATTGGCCAACGCAGTAGCTCCCCGTACTTTATATAACGATTTAGAAGCTAAAGGGCACTATTTTTAGCATCTCTTGCGATTTTAGAATCCAAAGGTAACTTTTATTAATCTCGTAATGACTGAGTAAATTTAGTATTAAATTATCTATACAAGTTTTTCCTTTCCTGCAGCGTGTATACATGTTGGGGCGGACACTGATATATATTGTGTATGTATAGTAATCAACACTCTGTGATGAGTGGCTGTTCACACCATCAGCTATCATGTATTTATTTCTATATCCAAACTGTTTATGTCTATATACGCTCTATAGCCGACATTCACCAGTCTTTCCTCATACATATAGCAAATTCTAAACACTACATAGACACACACACACTTTTACACACACACACACACACATATATATATATATATATATATATATATATATAATGTCATCTACATACAGGCCTGTTTCACTGTATAACAGCTCATCAGTGCGGCTAGACATCCGATTGCTTCAAAGCTCGACCGATTTGGCATCAGTCGGAGTTTCTTCTCCTGCGCTATCTGCGCATGGCAGAGGGGAAAGGAAATTCTAGCGTATTATTTTAACGAATGTAAACAAACACCAGACAGCCTGAATGCTCTAATCATTTAATAAAGAGCGTTGCGTTAGCGGAAACGGCTGCTGTTTACCCTCTCTCTCAACAGTGCTCAACCAAAATTATCGAGAGCATAATAAGGCCATCCATATACAGACCTGTTTCGCTGTATCACAGCTCATCAGTGCGGTTAGACACCCGATTGCTTCAAGCCGATATATATATATATATATATATATATATATATATATATATATATTGTGTGTGTGTGTGTGTGTATTTAGGCAAACATTTTTTCATTGATGCATGTTTCATTAAATAATATAGACAAGTTTTGTCTGTTTATTTTATGTAAATTCTTTTCATATCGTCTGATAAGCTTCATAACATTATCATTAAAAGACAAAAGAAAATCACCATATTGGTACATATTTTTTTAATTCTATGAAGCTTTCGGCTTACATAAGCCATTATCAAAGATGACAATTACATTACAATATATTAACCAATACACGGACAAAACAATAATGTCTGTTTTTGTTTGCATGGAAGATTTCCAAGAAACGGCAAACTCGTGCATACGAGACGCTGGAAGCAAAAATCGCACCGCAGCTCATGGCGTCACACATGAACACGCGAGAGTGAAAACGAGAAGTATTAAGTATGGCTAGCCATTGGTATAAACCAATGACTTCTGTTATCAATTATAGGCATTTAAGAATATTTGTGGAGATTTTATAGTTTATTTTGTTCAGGTTAGGTTTCAACTGTTTTATGTATATAGCTTCAATAATTTTTCGTTTTTGTTTATTATTTTCATGTTTCAGTATAGTTGTGTTTTCAACGAGGATATATATATATATATATATATATATATATATATAAATTAATATATATATATATATCATTAAATTAATATATATATATATATATATATATATATATATGTGTGTGTGTGTGTGTGTGTGTGTGTGTACACGTAAATAACCTTAAGAAAAGGTTTGAATCCACCTCTTCTTCCCCCAGATATAGGTTAATCAGGAGTTTTTACATTAGTAGATCCTTATTATTTTAAAAAAATATTCTTACAATCTAAAAATGCTTCCTGGTTTAAATAACCTGAAAAGGGTTGATAAGCCGTAAAAAACAAATCAATCAGTCAATTCTTATTAAGTAATAAACTGATCCCAAAGAATAATAGATATTAATTTAGAATTTACATAAATATATTTAAAGACATGTATGTAAAAAAAAACATCTCATGATCACAAGGACTTCGAAAAATATAACAAAAAATAGCAGGGCTAAACTTGTATTAACGATGAAGGGATTGTGTGAAGTATTCGATAAAGTATGTAAAAATGAAATATAAGAAATCCAATTGGATATTTATTTTTCTAATTTACGTGTGATGTTAGCTCCGAGACTCTTGTCCCTGTACCTCGCCATCAAGATCAACGAGATACCCGCTGACTCTCCATGCTATGCTCGTATCATCCTCATTCTCTTTGCATTCCATTGGTAAAGAAGAAGTTCCACTCGGATGGCTTCTTACTGAGAATCGCTGTTCTGTGGAACAAACCGCCAAAATGATGCTTCTTCAATCATTACAATCTTAACATCTAAAATCTCGGAACAACCCTTATCTATCCTACATATCCTTATAATCAGCGCGTGCCTCCTCCTCTTGCGTCCATACAACAACCTCATTCATTAACCCTCTACCTTGAGTAGATACAGATTCGACAACGGACTCTTCAATCTCGCCCGATTTCGTTCTCTCACAAAGAGTGCCACCACCCGTGTGCTATAATTTCAGCTGACGACAATGCAACTGCGGACCAGACTATCATTAATCTCCAGAGACCGGCAAACCTGCATAACAAAACCTATAAAAGCTTCGGGATAAAGGTCAATGTCAAAAAGACAACGATCCTCATCCAACCGGCCCCGAGATAAGCAACACCGGACGTTAGTATCAACATCGACGGACAACCGGTAGAAGTCGTGGATAAATTTCCCAACATTGGCAGCATCATCTCGATTAATGTCACCTGCACGTGAGACTTTGACAATGAGATCAAAGCGGCTCATACCGCGTACGGAACGCTCTCACATCGAGTCTCCAGTAATCACGGCCTCACCATAAAAACCAAAATAATTGTCTTCCGGTTCGTGGTCCTCTCCACCCTTCTGTACGCTTGCGAGGCCTGGGTTTTGTATCGTCGGAACGTTTAGAACGGTTCCAACAAACAAAGCTCCTAAAGTATCCTTCGCATCAGTTGGAAGAACCGTATTACCAACAACGAGGTCCTCTCTCAGACATCTCCCCTTCCCAGCATCGAGGCTACCATCCATCATCATCGTCTCCGTTGGGCGAGTCACGTGTCCAGAATGCGTCTCACTCGACTCCCACGAATCATCCTGTTTGAAGAACTCGCCAGCAGCAAGAGGCTAAGCAGAGGCTCAAAACGATACCTCAAGAATCAGTTGAAAACATACCTGACATAGGCCAACATTGGCCCTGGAAGCTGGGAAACCGCTGTTGCAAGTTGGCCTTCCTGGAGTAGGACGATCCGAGGAGAGCCCGAGACTTTCGAGTTCAACCGTCAACATGAAGAGGATCTGCGACGTGCTGTCAGGAGGACCCGACTCCACCAGCCACACTCCTCTGTGACTCCTGATCACGACTCTAGTAGTAGGCTGGGCCTTCACAGCCATCTCCGTCACTGCCAGCAGAGGAGAAAGAGGGAATAAGAAGAGAGAATGACGATGCAGATGCTCGGATGCGAGCGGGTGTCGACGACGCTACTTTGATCATTTTCAAATTACAAGTGAAAACGCTAAAGAGAGGTCGCTATCGGGGCGACCCTGTCGAGGAAAATGCTGCCATCAATTTGAAATATTCTAATACTTAATAGGAAATTTGAAAATATATCCCTGAACAAAACAATGAGATTTACATATAACAAATAGGTTCAAATATAATGCAAATATGATAGTTAATGATACGAAAATAAAATTACTTATATATTATAATTGTGTCTTATCTATAAATACCTCCATGGTGATTGTCCTGGTGAACATTTCTCTGTGGTACCTAGACTTTATGTATTTAAGCACAGTACAAGATTGGTGAGAGGACATCATCATTTCACGGTCGAAATAGATATAACCGAAAGTTCTATGCTAACAGTTTCTTCTTTCGCACTTCTCACTTGTGGAACTCTCTTCTGGTTTTTTGCTTCCCAGTCAACTTTGATCTTCAAAAATTTAAATGCAATGTCAATCGTTATCTTTTGTCTTTCTGTTCTT